CTTCTTCGCATCAGTGGCAAAACAGATCAATCCTTTTCTCACAGCATTTCAGACTGATAGACCTATGCTGCCATTCATGAGTCTTAGTTTGTACACTTTGTTGAAATCATTGCTTAATAGGTTTATCAAGAGTGAACTTGTAATTGAGGCAACATCTCCTTTGAAGATCCTGAAGTTGAAGCCTACTGATAAAGAACAGCAGTTAGACTACCAGAAAGTTGATGTTGGCTTTGTGGCACAACAGATGCTGAAAGAAAAGTCTGGGAAATTGAGTGAAAGGCAAGTTCTTCAATTCAGAATGGAATGTAAAGATTTTCTTGCAAAAACAGCTTCTAAACTGCTTGACAAAACACCAATAAATTATCGACTGGTAAGNAAGTTTTGATTTAACCATTGAATTGAAAACTTGTCCCCTGTGAAGCAGGACTCGCTTGAATTTCTAAACAATAGCCGGCCCCTCTGTTTACGTGTTTGCCTTTCACAACAGCTCTTCCTTTGTTTGTTGGCCTCTTGAGAAATTTTGTAAGCCATAGGGCCATAAGGCCTACATGCCCTCTGTTTTAGAGCTAGAACTATGCATGGGCCGGAAATGCACTTGATGCTTTGTAACAATGAATTTTGGATTTATCTTCATATATGTTCACTTTTTAAAAGCATTTTGCTTTATAAAGTCCCATGTTTTCTGCCATTCCTATCCAATTTAAATTGTACCTCTATTAAGCGGCTAACCTCTATTAAGCAGCCACTTTTCAAAGTCCCGGGGGTGGCCGCTTAATAGAGGTTGGACTGTACTTCAAATAACTCATTCTCACTGGGCAATTTACCATCCAGGGAACATACTGGTAATATGAGTCCATTTGAACATGTGTGGGCACTTCGAAGGCAAAAATATGGGTTTTCTTCTAGAATGCCTGGTATCTGCAGATAAAATAATAAGTCTTAACTTAAATGTGTACTTGGTTATATTTTTACTTATACAAATTATGCTGTGATGTGAGCTAAGCCACAGATCAACCTACCAAAGAATGACACTCCTATAAATGGTCATTCTGCAGGTTTGCCCATATTACTCAATAAAGTTACCCAACATTTTGCATAAGAAACCAACCAATGCTCTTATATAATATGTAGTGTTACAGTGGAACCTGGATTTTACAATGCTCCTCAGGAAAAGAAAACCATATTCTAAAAATAGGTACTGTATCTAAGTTTACTCTATACTGTATGCTGTGTACTCTATACAAGCAAAGAGAAAAATGTAAGCCTTTAACACTTAACTCTTTTAAAAATACATGAAAAACCTATGAAAAGAGAAAGAATAAAATCGCCACAAATAGAAATAAGATAAGTTTGCATAATAAAAAGTGGAAAGATATTGTTCAGGCATTTTGACTCATTCACTAATCCACAGTATGCTAAGCCAGAATGTTTGTTTCCTGTTCCTCAGGAGATAGAAGCTGTATTGTTAAATAGGTGTTTGTTTTTGGAGTATCATACTTAGTGAAAAAAAAAAAAGAAAAAACAGATTCCACGGTATTAGGTATTACATAAGTATATTTTACCTCTGGTGTACAGAAGTTGATGTGGGGATGGTTAGCAAAGCCAAGATGGGCTCCTCAGAAGCTCCTGTGGTGAAGATGAGGATACAGCTCAGGGAGATTGGCTCCCTCTGTCCATTGGCAACTTGCCTGATGTATTTAACAAACATGCAGTAGACTTTTTTCTCTTTCTGATAAGCTGTGGAGCCCTCTTCAGAAAAGTTGGGTTTTAGTAGGTGTATCAGCATCTTTGATGATTATAGCTTGCCAGTGGTTGGTCTGAGGAGATGCAGCATAATTGGATAAGACCTAATAACCGTACACAGGTCAAAGACTTCTAAGCCTCTCTGTATATTGGCAATGCAAGAATCTGTATTTGAGAATACCAGTAGTTGATCAAGCACTTCAATTGGCATAAATGCTGGAATTGCACCATTCTGCAATAAGGCAATTCCCACCATAATACCAACGTAGTAATAATCTTCTGAAAGATAGGTACGAAGAACATTATCGAAATATTTCTTCTTTATTTCGCAGTTCACAAGTCTGATCCACTCCTTTCTTGGTCCCCCAAGGTCTTTTGCCATCTCCCCTATGAACTCGACTTCAAAGGTCGTAGTGTAATCTTTAATTCCAGCAAGCTCTGAAAGGGTTGTTATCAAGAGGTTTTGTCTATCAACACAAATGAAGTTAGTATTATCACAGGCTTCATCACATTGAGACTTGCTTTCAATGTCTCATTTTCTACCATGGATGAGGCTCTTTTGTAGAAATCAGTGAGTTTTTCACCAGTTTGGATTAGTGAGTTTTTTCAGCTTCAATACCCTGAATCAGGGCACTCACTACTTCATCACAGTGGGGTGGTGTGGAAAATTCATCCCCCTTATCTTTCCCCATTTCTGCCCGTTTTGTGGTTGCATCTGGAGAAGAGGAACTGGATCCCTGCAAAGGATCATTGAGATTTTCTGACTTCACAATAGCAGTGATAGAAATTTCGTCACTGAGATCTTTTCCATCCATAAGGGCATCGTCATAGATAAACTTAAATCCCTGCTTTATTTTGACATAAAGCAGTCCCTGACCAGCCATTTTCTTTACTACAGCGTAGCTATATTCAGTGCCTGACCCAAGTTGGAGAGTTGAAATAGCTTTGTGTCTTACCTTGACAAATTCAAAATCATTCATGCCCATCAATGGGTATTTCTTCTTGAGTGACTCCAGAATCTTATTTCTGAAAACGTTTTCGCTGTCCTCGTCAGTCAACATCAGCATTCCAGAAGTTAAAATAGAGTCCCTCTTCAAATTAGGAGAGCAACCGTCGTCTTGCATTTCTTCATCGTCAAAACTGCGAAGGAGAGCAAATTCTATTGGTTTTTGCTCTTTTGGCTTCATTTTCTTTTCTTTAACTTGCTTATAATTTCCTCTAGATGCAGATCTCAGTCGTTTGCTTCGATTAAGATGTCGGCACAACCATAACTATGGCACAACCRAGAAGCCGAGCTCTCTCTTAGCATATTATTTGCTCTATTCAGTGTATCCTGAATAGAAGAAGTCGAAGGCACAGATTGAGGTGAACTCTTGTTAGTATCAGCAAGAATCTTTGATGTTTCATTAAGGAGCTTTGAAACTTTATCAAGGTCGGACGAAGAGTTTGCCGCCATGATGCCACAAGCAGAGCCTAGTCCTCTTCCCTCYTCCTTCACATGAGAATGAGGCTTGGTCACACTTGCCCCAGGAAGATTAAACGAAAATTTGCAAGTTCAAATTTAAATTAAAAATATTTAAATTTAAATCGAAAAGGTTTAAATTTAAATTTAAATCAAAAAGGTTTAAATTTAAATCAAAAAGTTTAAATTCACAAATATGTGGTATATATCAAATCAATAATTGAAGGATTAAATATTGCTAGCATTTGGCAGCCATATCCACCTTACTCGCATCCCCACATGTGTAAACCATAATTGAAGGAAATATATTTTTCCCTTCAAACACACTTACCCAGTACAGTATGTTGCTTTGTTTGATGTGTGTATGTTGGTTTCTTTTGGTTACTTGTGCTTTGTTACGATTCATATGATAAACTGAATACCACACATATTGTGATTGAGTGTTACTTATAATAATCTATTGGAGGACAGACATACAGATGACATAACCATCAGCCACAGTTTGCTTTTATATCATATGAAACAAATACATTCTATGTTTCCATTGGCTTGTACAGTAATCGATCACAGAGGACGTCAAAATGTGGTAACAACACAGGGATTTCATTAAGGGCCGGGTAACGGGCAAATTGACCAGTTATGAGGATGGTTTTGCCCACCTGGTTTGACCATCTGGAGGAAAGTTTATCTTATAAAGAAGTCCAGTTCAAAAAGTTTTGCCTGCCTTTGAAAATCAGTAGCCCTCCTGCTGAAAATGTCAATGAAACCCCTGAACAACATCAGTGACATACTGTCTGCACCTCATCAGGGCTGTGGTCTAGCAACACCCAGTGGCCCCTGGCGCTGTACTTTTGCTCTTGGGCAACTCAGAAATCTTAGTTTTTTCATAAAAGGCACATGCTGGGCACCCTGGATTTCATAGTTTCAGAGCACTGGACTCCCTTCAATTTTTCTTAGAGCACAGCCTTGCTCATATACCTCTTTGTTGTTCTTGCCACATTTTGACGTCATCCATGATCTATTAGTGAACAGATTCACTGCAACATACAATTTATTTGTTAATTGTATTCCATGTGGCCATTACTTAGCGTGGTTAAATTCAATGATCTTAGTCAGTGTAACAGGACTAATGAGTGGCTAGTCAAACCAAAATAGGAATAAAGGCTGAAAGTTTCTAAAGAAACTGTGGTGCTGCGTCGGTGGGGGTAACATTCCTAACAAAATAGGAAGGCTTAGTTATCATGTTCTTCTCAGATATGAAGATGAATATAAGTCTGGCAGCATTAATACATTTCCTGCTGGATGCAAGGATGAGATGTTAAAGTAATGGTTTTCTTAAGTGTTTGGTTTAGTGTGATAGTGGAGCACTTGTAGAAGATCAAAAGGCCAACTTAGCTATCGAAGCACACAAACTTCCAATAAAAACTTCCAATAAATTGGGCGAAGTTTCCAAGAAGAGACTGTATGAAGTAAGTGGGTAATTTGTGTGGATACCAAAGAAAAGACTAAAGCAGAGCCCAAACTGTTCCTGTAAAGTGAAACTTCCATGTCTTCCAGCCAAATATATATGCCTCAAATTTTAGCTAGCTTTTCACCTTAATGTCAGCTGCAGTCTTGTGTTCTGTTTATTAAGTATCTAAGAGGGGGCATGTGTTTATTCTTCTGTTATCATCAGTATTACTTAGCAAAAGGCTAGGCAGGGATTTACAGTGCATGTAAGTAGAGGAAACAGGACTGCCTTCCAATAACATGTAAATGACAGTGCATCTTCATTTTTATTGTTTGTTACTTTTAGGTCTTCGCAGGGGTGACTTGCTGAATGAGGATGATCCGGATGTGAAAGAAGCTGTAAAACGTCTATCCCCCGAAGACTTCAACTTGAGACAATTCCGTATTAAGAGAGCTCTTGATTTGACAATGAAACATTCCATTTTACCCAAAGAGCACTGGACAACAAGTGAAGAGGTTTGTTCGTTTTAAAATTATTTGATTGTTTTGTTTGGATGAGAATATGAGTGTGTTAATGTATGGGTAAGTAGCTACACACAGTAGTTTCAAGTCCAATGTGTTTTGCAAGTAAACATTATTGAGCACTATCTGTATTACCTGAAATTGAAGAGAGGAGGTGTGAGAGTAAAGTATCCCTTTCAGTATTCCAATCATTGATCCTACATGTAACCTGAGCAAACTAACACTTTTGTGGATGGAGAGTTTTTGCAGATTAAAACAAGTTAAATCCCCCTAATGTTCAGGAAAAGTGATTCATTTTGTTACCTTTCCTACAGGACACAATGTATATTCAACCTCTCATTGACCAGGTCAAGAAGGAGCGGATTGAAAGACAAATGTGGGACCACAAGTGAGCACCATCAGTGTATTTGTCTGCAACCGTGAATGAATTGTTAATTCTTGCACAAATTGCTTCAGCTTTGGAAATTTTGTAGCTTTTTTGTGTTCAATTTACATTGTAACTTGCAAGGGAAATGTGAAGAAGATTGTTATGATTTGATTTACATTATCTGTAATAAAGAATGAAAACCACTGTTTATATCACCAACTTGTATTTTATACCATGTTTGCCAGGAAATTATACAGGGTTCATTTAGGTTCTGGAATTATTTTTTCTTCATATAAATGTACTTACGGAGTGAAACAAAAATACAGATGAACAGATAGATGCATAAGTTATATACTTTATGACATAGAGGGAAAAAGTACCAAATGCTGATTAGCTGGGACAGGGCATTTTCCCATAGTTTTGATGATTGCCCCAGGCAAACTTTCTTGAATTTTAAAAAAATTAGATAGAAATTAAGAAACAAAACAAAGAAATGGCTCTCCACAAAATGGTGTAACAGTTAATTCTTATTAACTGAGTGGGAGGTCTGTATGGGAGAATCTTGACCGAGGTTGCCAGTACAGACCGAACACAGTGAGGTCTGTAGCAGTGACTGAGGTCAAGATTCTCCCTTACAGACCGACCTATATAGCTCGGTTAATAAGATGTTTATTATATGGCTGTGTCTAGAAAGCAACAGATCATTACATTCTTTGTAACTTTTTTTCCTAGACCGGTCTGGATGGGAAAATCTAGACCGCTTTCAAAATTGATTTCAGCCAATCAAATTTGTGAATTCGGTAGTTCCCAGTCTTTGTGAGACAGCCATATAATAATGTGGGTTTTTAACCTTCTTGACTGGAGAAAATTTTGCCCTTGATATCTAACCAAGTAATTGCATGGGTGGGAGGAAGCACTTACCCATGTGATTTATTTGACAAACTTTTCAGGTATACACTGACCTAATAGATTTGCTTTTTAGGTTGTGTTGGTCTAAAAACAGGTTCAGATTTTGAACATTAGGGACTTCAATTAGTTTTGGTTTAATTAAGGAACTCTCTAGACCATACATGTTAATCTTTGGAAATTTTCCCAATGAACAATAGAGAAAAGTGAGGACATTTTACTGAATTTTTGGAAGAAGACTTGACTTTGACACTGATGCTAAGCTTAGAAAGGCAACAGCAGTCAATCCCTTAGTTATGACTTCCAGAAGGGTATCGAATTTACAATAATAACAGCTTGTAAAACACAAACTTAAATCACCACAACAATGTGCTATAAACTGCTAGGTACACTTTCATTACGAAGAAATTTGATTTTGTTGGACTCATGTTGAGAGAACAAATACGTTTTCCACTGCTTTTAATTGTCTGGATGCCATGTTATTGAGTGTTTGCTTGCCATCTTGGACTGGCTGACCACTAACCTCATGTGTGAGGGCTTAGCCTAAATTAGTAGGCAACTACCAACAACTGCATCAGCAAAAAGTAATTCTTTAAAGCAGACTACAAAATACAGCAAAATGTTGAGTTAAAAGTTTCTTATCCTATTCAAACTTCAATTTTGTTTTTCTATCTGTTTTGAGCATTGTATCAAGTTCACTGCTGAGAGACTGAGTTCCCTGGAAAGTTTCACTTAACTTTGCAACTGATTGGACACTCTGATTGCACTTGCACCCTTACAAAACCAATTTCCATGAATATTATTTGGTAATCAGAAAAAAAAATAATCTTTTCATCACTAGTCATATTTATTTATCAAAATAATTTTTATAGCAAGCCTAAAGAAGTCATGTGATGGTTTATTGAGTTAATGCCAGTGGTCATTCCCAATTCAAGTCATTGCAACCTTCTATCAAACTAATAAAACCATCTTCTATTTAAATGGACCATCTACTAATTTATCATTCAGTTTGGTGATAAAAAGTTAAAACACCACAATGCACCTCTTAATTACAGACAATTTTTTAATTCCAGCAACTGCTAACAGCAGCCAGTCTTGTGTGGTTCAGCTGCTGGAATACTCTTGAATTCTTGAGAGCTAGTAAGAGTTGTACTGTTTGTTAAAGTCATTGCTCCTGGGTCCTTTGGAATGCTCTCAAAGTTGTGAGCTTTCTCATTCTCAAGAATCTGTTAAGATAATAAAGAAAGTAACGTTCACATAGGCATAAAATCATGTGTAACATTCATGTGTAACCTTTAGTTCCTGTAACCTTTCTTCAAAAGAAAATTAGATCATAGAACAGGACACCACCCTCCCTCTAATAACTTTGTTACGTCCTCAGAATGTGGTCACTGTATAATGTGTTTGGATGGAGATTAAAGGCCCTATGACATCTCAAGTGAGCTTTATCATTAATTTCCATGTATAGTATACCTTCTGCACAAGGTATTTTGCAGCCTCAGAAATGTTGATGTCCTCTTTAGCTGATGTTTCAAACCAGTTGATAAAACCTTTGTCAGAACAATACTCATCCATTTGACTTGTATTGTTGACAAGTCCTTCCCTTGCTTGATCACACTGCCAAACAAACCAAAAAAAAAAAAACATTAAAAAAAAAAATCACCCTTGGCTAACACATGAGAGACTACTCAAAAGAACACTCAAAGAGAGTGACCAGTTTGCAGAAAATTCCATTGCAAAAGCCAAAGTGAAAGATTAACAGTGCATCACCATCTAACAGGTTTAAATTGTGTCAACGAATGGGAGTTTGCTGAGAGGAATCACAGCCATTTAACTTGCAAGAGTGCATGCATCAAGAGTGCATGCATCAAGAGTGCATGCATCAAATGAAGTTAGCAAAAAAACCTTGTTTGCCAAGAGTACAACAGGAATTGGCGATCCATTGGGAAGCAGAACTTTATTGTCCAAATCATTCTTCCACTTTTGTACTGCTTCAAATGTAGATGCTCTTGTGACATCAAATACAAGGAAAGCACCAACTGCTTCTTTGTAATAAACCTGCAGGGCAAAGTACTATTACAAAAATACAACTAAAACAATCTGAAAAAAGTGAACCAGGCTAGCAAAAAATGAAAGCCTTTAAGATACTGAGGAGTTCAAGTTAGCTGATAGAAAATTACTAATAAATGTATGTTAACTTCAAGTTAACATGACCTTTGGGTCTAAAGCTTGCCTTTCACTGGTTACCTGCATAAACATGTTGACAACCCCTTTGATGAGGTGTAATGAGCTTGTAAAACTTTTGGGAGTCCAAAACCCAGGCTTATTTTTACATGGATTCCTCATTTACTCCTTAAATATTAATTGTTTTTTATTCTACAATTGATTAGCTTAATGATGATAATATAGTACTCTTCAAAGGTTTTATATAAAGTGACATGAATACAAAAAATTTTCCACAAGATACCCACGAAGGTCTACAATAATATGAATTAAGGCTGATAGTTTCGAAAGAAACTGTTTGGGGCTGCGTCAGCGGGGGTAACAAAATAGTTTGGATATATCCAAAGTTGATATATCCAAATATATTTGGAGATATTTACCATTTCAACTTTGTTGATATATCCAAATTACTACAATAATATGGCAGGCCGTTTGTAGCAATATTAAAAAATTCTCCCATTCAACTGCAATTGAACCGTTCAATTCAACCCCAATTCAACCATTCAACACCCCATTCAACCATTTAAGAATCTATTCAACTATTCAACCCCAATTCAACAACTCAACCGCATTCAATTATTTAATCCCAATTCAATAATTCAATTGTGCATTCAACCATTTAATCCCGCATTCAACCGTTCAACTGGTGGGCTGGGGAACCTGGCATGAAAGATGGCCGAGCTGGAGCCTGAAACCTAAGTTATCATAGAAAGCAAGATGGCAGCAGATGCACAGCAATTTGGGCTGACAGAAATACCTCGTTTTTTAAACCACATCCTAAACAAGAGGACTCAGTTATGTAAGATTCCTTTCGAGGTGGAACCATTGGAAAAGCATGCCGTAACACTTGACAAAACAATCTCCTTGTTAAGAAAGCTGGAAGATTGTTTCCAGTTTGAAGATAACGAGAAAACACAGTTGCAAAATATTACGTCTGCTTTTGATGATATTTTACAAGGCTGGAACCATTTATTGTCTCTAGCTTCCATTACCACAACAACTGTCGCTAACTTAGGCTCAAACAGACAAGCAAATATTTCTTCACCTGGGAGGCCATCATACAACATATCTGCTGAAACACTTCAGGAACTTCTGCAAAGACCTTTGGGAAACCACAGGCAGCCCATCTTAGTGTGTATCTCTAGCCAACAAAATTTTTCGGTCTTTTAATTACAATTTTGAGTTAATTCTTTTATTGAACCTGTCTGAAGAAATACGTTACATTGCTATAAATGTCAATCAAAGGAATATTTACTGTGTACAATATTTCTTAGTTAACATAACAGACATCTTATAGCCTGCAGAGCAGGCGTTCTTGTGGAGTTTGGGCGAAAATTAGGACTTTGGGCTTTCTGTTTTATTTTCCAGAGCGCGCGTAAAATGGAGCGAGGAAAACAATTAGAAGGTGGGGGGAGGGGGAGAGGAGAGAGGGAACGCCTGCCAGCAGTACTTGAAAATTTGAATAACTCGTTCGCTCATGAACGGGCGACTCTGATTGGTCCAGTATTTTTTATTGACAGCAGAATGTGACGTCAGTTTGTTATGTATCACATCCAATATGGCATATTTAGCGAAGAAGAGATAGATCTTGTGTTGAAGGATTCTTTAGCTACTTTTGATATCTTAGAAAACTTTGTTTTAAAACAAGAACAGCTAGATGCCATACATCAACTTTCCAGAAATAAAGATGTGTTGGCGGTCTTACTAACAGGCTTTGGTAAAAGCATTATTTTTAGATTTGGTGTGCAAGTCAAGCAGCTTCTCACGAAGAAACACTCATGGTTGCATGGTTGTTGTTTGCCCTCTGAAAAGCATCGTTAACGACCAGTTTGTCGAGGTCCAAGAAGTTGGCTTAAAACCAACAAGTCTTTCGGTATGTTTCTCTTCGATGAAGCTGGATCAATATTCTCGCTCATATTTAAGCATTTTCTTGATTTCGGTGTAGGTGGTTTGCACATACGAGCGGCTTTATTCTTCCTCCATGCCAGGCTAGATTTGTTTGGCGTATCTAATTGCCGCTTATTTGCACTTTTGAGCTTTTCTGGATTTTTGCATTGGCCGTTTGCGTTCTTAAGGATGAATGCATGTGGCTGTCCCAAGTTTCTGACTTTCCGAGCACACGGATTGCAACAGCGATCGGATAACTGTTCGTTGTTTTGAATGAGTTCGATGCCAATTCCAGCACACACGTCTGATAAAATTACTCCATAAGCATCACTTCTCTTTGATGATCTGAATAAATTTTCTGATGACAGGTATGAGCCATATTTAACATTAAAACTACAACAGCAAAATCAACAATTCTCGTTTGGCCACCTGTGAACACAAATTTTGACACTTGTGATTTCCCTTCGAATAACAAAAAATTTGACAAGCAACGGAAGTGAAAATCCACTTCCGTCGCACCACCTGATAGGCCAATTGTTTGGGCATTATTGTTACTCGTGCATATCTAATTAGGGGGCCTTTTTCAAATTTTCAAGTGCTGCTGGCAGGCGTTCCCTTCTCTCCTCTCCCCCTACCCCCACCTTCTAATAGTTCACCTCGCTCCATTTTACACGCGGTCTGGAAAATAAAACAGAAAGCCCAAAGTCCTAATTTTCGCCCAAACTCCACAAGAACTCCTGCTCTGCAGGCTAACATCTTAGGATGTCTTTCATGTAATTGTGCCAGGTTACTCAGTCCTGCAACCATCAGGTCTCAGTGCGAGATTGAATGATTGAATGTGGGATTGAATAGTTGAATTGGGGTTGGATAGTTAAATTGGGGCTGAATTGGGGTTGAATAGTTGAATTGGGGTTGGTTAGTTGAGTTGGGGTTGAATAGTTGAAGTGGGGTTGAATAGTTGAATAGATTCTTGAATGGTTGAATGGGGGCGTTGAATGGTTGAATTGGGGTTGAATTGGGGTTGAATTGGGGTTGAATTGAATGGTTGAATTGCAGTTGAATGGTTGAATGAAAGAATTATTGAATATTGCTACAAATGGCCTGCCATACAATAACCTTAACGGGAACAGCTACTTTAGCCAAAACATTCGTAACTGGAAAGCACAAAATTAATGGCACAGAAAACTCACCCTTGTCATGTTACCAAATCTTTCTTGTCCTGTTCAAAGACATAAAAATTCCACCAAATTAAATTTAATCAGGAAATATTTCATGGTTTGACTTAAGTTACTCTCAAGACTAAAATTTGTGACCTGCTCACAAATGTTTTCAACTAGGGTTTAAAATACATTTTCAAATTGAGAAGACCTCTGCCTCCTAAACCTCTTCTTTAATTTCAAACACCTCTCCTTCGTTTGTGTGTTTAGGAAAAGGGCCTGGTGTATGCCATGGACATAACAACAAAATAGCTTTGACATGAAACAACATGAAAGGAAGTTAGGTTTCTTTCTTCGTGCCATCATGCCAAGGACACAACAACAAAATAGTGTTGATATGAAACAACAAGAAGGGAAGCTACATTTCTTTCTTCACCCCATCACGACCATGTCACAATGTACATTTGGTATTGGTTTTATTATTCTGCAGTTTCCTCTAGTGACATAATATACATCTGAGATAAACTCCAGAGATTTTGTGAAAGGGAAGTTGCAGAGAGATCTTATTGAAAAAAATTGTGTCTGAATGTTTCAGTCTATACTTCAAATAAATTCTTAATATACAAAGATAACTACTGAATGTGTTTTTGTACACTGATCATGGTCCATTTAGCCCATGGGAGGCTTTTTAAGACTTAAAAGAACTTTAGAAGAACTTGTGAAAGATTAATGGGAGCCTACATAATGGTCTCTACTTTTTCCACAAGCAGGTACTTGGTTTACTTTTTGGTTTGTGGCTAGCTGTTTTCACAGCCATTGCAATCTCTAATAGTCTGTCACAAGTATAATCACCTTGAGTGTACGGTAGACTCAAAGTGATCTAAAGATTTCAAATCCAGTACATTTAATTGTGCAGCCAAACTGCTACCCCCAATTCTGGGAAATACTGGTATTGATCTATAACTGGCCTACCTGCAATATCCCATAGCTGTAAGCGTATCAGTGTATCTGAGTCCCAGTTTATGACTTTGAGAGCAAAATCAACACCAATGTGTTCACAGTTAAAGATTATAAGATGTTATAACGACATGCCTTAGAATTGTATCGATAAAATGTAAAATGACATTTGACCAATGAGTTAATCATTAGACAAATGACAAAAATTGTTATCCTGCTATAAGTAACGTTTCTACATGCTGTGTTCGTTTAGTGACCTAAACTGACACAAGTATTATGAGCAATAGTGTTTGTAACTGCATCGTCACTCTACCTGATGTATTAAATGCACTGTAAGGGAGTTTTACTTTCGAAAAGATGTTGAAACACCGGTGAAAAAATATAATGTAAACAATTAAAGCACAAGTAAGGGTGAAATGAACGGTCAGTACAGTATTATGGAGATTTTGCATCAAATTGGGGTTGGATTTCCTTAAGATCCCCTTTGAAGAAAGGATATTGTAGCTCTGTAGTGTACAGAGAAAAACTGATGAACATATCTCTTGATAATGCTAGTTTTTCCAACACCAAGATCACCAATGACAAGCACTTTGAAAAGATACTCCTTCTTCTCTCCCGAAGATTCCTACGAAATATTTGCACACAAGAAATTAAAGTCACTCTTCAGCCATGCTACATATCATCATGAATCCTTTTTCAGAAGGAAAATACTGATCGTACCATAGTAAGCCGATGCAACTGCTACAATTTGATGAGAAACAACATTTCCTTCACCTCGGCAAGGCCACCATTTTGTCATGTGATGGTCAAAGGTATATGGAGCATTATGATTGGTTTTGAAGCTTTGCATCAAAGTCCTTGGTCATTATAAGATGCTTGTTTATTGGATAATATAGATTCTACGGCACCAAATATACATCTTACTTAATCGTTCCCTTTCGTAAGCATCATTCTCCCGAAATCGTGGCCGAGAATATGTTTGGACAACCGGAAAAGCAATGGGGAAAAACGTTGTCTCCCTTGACTCCTTGATCAGTTGCGTGGCTTGACATCGTCCCTCTGAACGGTTCAGATGCGAATATATTTGATTAATCTTAGAAAGGTAGTTACTAAAACGAAGACCCCCTACCAAGACCCAAAACGAAGGCTCATTACCAAAACGAAGACCCATAATAAATTCGTTATGTTCACGAGACACTCTACGAAAACGAAGATCTTTACGGAAATCTTGAATTCTGAATTTGGCGCGTCTGTAATCTATTGCGGAATATTTAAACAGTAGAGCCCTATGAACCTTTAAATGGGACTACTTTAAAGCAAAAACGAGATTTAATCGAAGAGACATGACAGACAAAATCTGGGGCTTTATTGTTGTCGAAACATGATTTTATTGGTCCCTTGCCACTATTGAAATATGGCCAGAGTGTCCTCAAGTTTTAGGCCCTGTTTACAAGCAAGGAGGGTAACCCTTGTGCTAGGGTTACCCTAGCAGGCGGGTCAAAGATAACCTGGGTTTACAAGCAAAATTTCACAGGTAGGGTTATCCTACCACCTGGGACGACTTACCTATGCTTGGTAAGCGCACGCATTGTTGTCAATGTTCAAAGGGTCTGGAAACAAGTAAAAAGTTGTCCCGGGTAGGCGAGTTATCCCCAGCAGAGCGTTTACAAGGCAGCTAGGGTTACCCTGGCGCTAGGGTAACCCTAGCGCTCAGCTAGGGTTACCCTAATGCTAGGGTAACCCTAGCTGCCTTGTAAACACGTCGATGAAGAAAAGAAGAAATGTGGGAGCGTTAGGGTAACCCT